TGAAACCACAAATAAGCCCAACACCTCATCCCTTTAGGATTAGTAGTCCTAAGTACCTCCGGGACTGATAGGATTGGGGCGGGTAATAGCATGCAATAAGTAAACGAGACCATTCCGCGCTTTAATACCTTAAAGGGGTGGGAAAGGGTAGATATGGATATGATGATCACGTGATAACATCACGCGTAAGAGTGATTACCGAGTATTGTGTGGGGTGATCCATATTATTTGTAAACCTAGCCCCCCCCCCCCTTCCCTTTGTTTCTTTGATTCTTTGCTTCCTTTTCAAAAATTTAAATTTTTTCTCTAAGGAAAATCAATATCCCTCTCGTTCTTTCTAACTTTGTTTATTTGTGACCATTACATGAAAACTCCCTCTTATTTGTAACTCTTACTTGCCTATGTGTTATTTTGTATTTAAGTCACAACAATAGTTTGGCCGGGAACCACACTAGTGGATCCTGATGGGTGCCTAACACCTTGCCCTTGGGATAATTTCAAGCCCTTACCCAATCTCTGGTTACTTGACTCAAATCCTTCTTAGTGTCCTAATGCACTTAAATCATTAGGTGGCGACTCTTCAATCCAAAACCAAATTCCCAAAAGGGAACGAGTTGTCCTTCCAAATGTCAAAAATCCGATTTTCGCGGAGGAAAAATGGGGCGCGGCACAAAACACATACAATAAAACAGTAAAACTATTTTCATATAAAGGACGTAAAAACTCCAAAGATTTCACAAATAGCAACCTCGAGTTTTAGGGACAGGGCTCCAATTCAGGACACTTGTGAGTCAAGAACTAAAAACCTACCTATCCACAAATACTAACATAAAACGACATCAAGGGACACTTCCCCATATCTCCAATTAAAGCTTTATTTCTTTCACTTTAGTCCCTTGAAGCATCTTCTTCTCCACAAAAAAAAAAAAAAAACACAAGACTTGTTTCCAGAATAAGCTTTACCTAATAGTTGGTAAGGAAGTGGTTCTTGAATCTTGTGTCAACAGTAAAAGTACACATTACTTCTCCTCCAGCTCAAAAATCAAACAAGTGACAAGTCAAATATAATGATTTACACACCATGAAAAATTTTCCCAAGCAGCAAGCAAAGAGCATCGATAACGATGAATATACTCTAACCTTTTCCCCTCAGCTACCCAGAGAGATGATAATCATATATAGGAGCCATCCAGTACGCAAGTGTCACGACCCTAGTTCACCAACCGTGAACATGTCATGACGACACCTGGTCCCCATGACCAGGTAAGCCTAACATTTGCGGAAATATAATAATTGCGGAAAAATAGAGAAAATCAATTCAAATATCTAAAGGAAACTGTACTCAATGCCGCTTAGCAAGTACAACTCAATATCACAAGTCTAAAACAATTCCCAAAACCCGGAAACTCACGGGCAACACAGGCTACAGAAGTGTATAGTAAAGGTTCCAAACTCCAGAATTTCTAACAACCGAAAGAAGGTAAACTAAGTACTAAAGATAGAATAAGAGGGAGACTCGTCGGTCTGCGGACGCAGCAGATCTACCTCGAAGTCTCCGTAGTCCTCATGCCTCACTGATAGTGCGCCTGAGTAGAGGTACCTGGGTGACCGGCACATGAAAAACATCCGCAGGAAGGGCATGAGTACACCACAGCGGTACTCAGTAAGTGCCAAGCCTAACCTCGGTTGGGTAGTGACGAGGAAGGTCAGGGCCATACTGAGACAAAATATAGTAATAGCAATAATTAACAGTATGATAATCTGACATAAATAATAAATACAGCAGTGATATAAGACAGATTAAGCAAGGCAATAGCAAATACACAAGAACGGAACAACCACAGAATAAGTACAGCTCAACACCAATGGTAACAATGAGGATCTCCCAGGATACCGTCCTGTAGTCCTTTTCTCAACTGTTTAGTGGATCTCCCGGGATACCGTCTCGTAGTCCAACTATCAATGTGCAGAAGGATCTATCGCGAATCTAACGCGCAGTCCCAAAGTAAAAGTGCAGGGGGATCTACCGGGAATCGAACCCGTAGTCCCAAAGTAAACAAACAAGGGGGGAGCTACCGGAATCCCACATCCGTAGTCCCAATGTAAATGCGCAATCACAACCAGAAGGTACACGGAAACGAAGTACAAAAAACAAGCAACAGATAGTACTGACCTAGCATGCTTCATGTAGTACAGTTAAGGCAACTTAAGCAATTAGGCAAGTTAAATCAACTAAACATGCTTTCCTAATCTAGCACAAGTTATAATTTCAAGTAGAATAAAGCAAATATGGAAGGAACTCAATCTCAATATCTTAAGAAAGCTGGGTTTTCCAACAATTGGCTCAAGTACACGCCCGTCACCTCGCGTACAAGGCACTCAAATCAACAAATAACAAATCCTAAGGGGAAAGGTCCCCCACACAAGGTTAGACAAGCCACTTACCTCGAACCGGCATCAATATCAACTAGAAATCACACTTTTGCCACGAGTATCCGACTCCAAATGGCCCAAATCTATTCAATTCAATTACTTATCATAAGTAATATTGCAAACAACTGATTCCACTACTAAATTTAAAGCTAGGATGCAAAAATAGGTAAAATAACCAAAACACCCCTCAGACCAACGTCTCAGAATCGAATAATTTTCACATTTTCAGAACCCTCGTACTCTCACGAGTCTAACCATATAAAAATCTCCCAAATCGGAGGTCAATTGCCCACTCAAAACTCAATAATTAGGTCTATGAAGTTTCTTCCAATTTTTTCCCAAATTTTGACCTTGAATTCGAATTCTAATGGTGGATTTAACTATATAATGATGAAATATAACAAGAAGGGACCAAAGAAACGTTACCCAGTGATCTTCACTTCAACTCCCACTCAGAATCGCCTTAAACCGATCTCTCAATTGATTTTTGTAACTTATGAACTCAAACCCTCGAAATTTCTATTTCTGCCGAGGGATTTCCGCTTCTGCGAACAAGGGACCACTTATGCGGAAAGTGAGCCGCTTCTGCGACTCTCACTAATCGACCACATTCGCTTTTGCGGTCCAGTCAACCGCTTATGCGGTTCTGCTTATGCGGATTATCCACCGCTTCTGCGGTTCCAACTAAAAGCCAAACGGCCGCATCTGCGGCTATTTTCTCGCAGATGCGAGGCCGCTCCTGCGAAATTTCTTCCGCATCTGCGACGCCTGGAAACTCTGCCCCAAACCGCTTCTGCGATGATCCAGCCGCTTATGCGGCTCCGCTTCTGCGGTTCCCAAGCCGCAGAAGCGAAAATACCAGAAGATGAAAAGAACCAGCTGCTGCAACACTTCAAAAATCTCCCCGTTAACCACCCGAAATCATCCCGAGGCCCCCGCGACCTCAACCAAAAGCACCAATACCACCTAATACCTTATTCAAACTTGTACCAATCCTTAAAACACCTAAAACAACACCGGAAGTCCGATTAAATCAAATATTCAAGCCTATGAACTTCAAATTCCAACAAAACACACTTTCAATCAAAAACCAAACCAAACCTCGCCCGAATGACCTGAAATTTTGCACACACATCCCAAATGACATGACGGAGCTTCTGCAACTTCCAGAATTGCAATCCGACCCTCGGATAAAAAACTCACTATCGGACTGGAAACTTCAAAAATTCAAACTTCGGCATCTCAAGCCTAAATGAACTACGAGCCTCCAAAATACATTCCGAACACGCTCCCAACCCCGAAATCACCTAACGGAGCTAACGGAACCATCGGATTTCCATTCCGAGGTCTTCTTCACACTGTTCCAATTACGGACCATTTTTCAATTCTTAAGCTCTCATTTAGGGACTAAGTGTCCCAAAACACTCCGAATCCCAACACCGAACGTCCCGGCAAACCAAAATAGCAGAAATGAACTTAGGGGAAGCAGTTAATGGGGGATCGGAGCATAAATTCCAAAAACGACCGGCCGGGTCGTTACAGCAAGGAGGAAGGTTTAAGTCCAACACACAATGATCCAAACATAAGACGTCAGCTCCAACAACAACAATGCCTCAGTCTCAAACAAGTTGGGATCGACTAATGTATTCACTCACCATGTTTCTCCATTTAAATTCATCTCAACTCAACATTATACAAAATAAATTAAAAAGTACTAGAAACCTTTATATTTTCTTTAGTTTCATAGAAATCTCTGTTACGACTAAGGAGAAGAAAAGCAAAAATCTAAAATATCCTAATATCCAGAGGTACTTAGAAAAGAGCAAAAACATATCTATAACATAGTAAACTAATTTAACTAGTAAGTAATAAGTACTAGTACTTAGTTTCTACAGAAACCAAGTCAGCATTTTGTTAGACTCCATTATCGGAGTCAATCGATGAAATTTTAAAGTGAGGGAAACCCTAATCGAGAGAGAGAAAAGAGAGAAGAAGAGAAGATATTTTCTTATTATGTTTTTTTGTCTTATTCTGGAATCATCATCTGAAGTATATAGTGAAATATGACTTTATTTACAAATTGGACTGGGCCGTCTCCTATTCAAAACTGGGCCCAAAAAATAGAATCAAAAATACTGGCTAAGCTAAGTAATGGGGCTGGTAGTGGATGCATTATTCAGTCTAGCACCCCCCTCAAGCTGGAGGGGAAGCCACTCCAAGCTTGCCAAGTAAATGATAATGAAGATGGCCTGCAAGAGACTTGGTGAAAATGTCAGCATGTTGATCAGCAGTAGAAATATGCTGGAGAGATATCAAACTAGATTGCAAATAATCACGAACAAAATGGCAGTCAATATCAATGTGCTTGGTCTTTTCATGAAAAACAGGGTTCTTTGCGATATGCAAAGCAGCCTGGCTGTCACAAAAGACCTGAATTGGGGAAGAGAAGACTAAGCCCAGGTACCAAATAAGCGAACCAACCAAGAAAACTCAGCTACAACATTCCTCAAAGCTCTGTACTCAGCTTCAGTAGAAGAAAGAGAAATAGTAGGCTGCTTCATGCATTTCTAAGAAATGGGGCGGCCACCAAAAGTAATGAAGAAACTTGTTACAGACTTGCGAGATTGGGTACAAGCAGCCTAATCAGAATCAGCATATGCCACAAGAGAAATATTAGAAGAGTTAGAGAGAAGAATGCCCTATCCAGGATCATTGTGCAAGTATCTAAGAACATGAAGGGCAGCTAACATATGAAGAACCTGAGGAGTCTGAAGAAATTGACTCAAATGCTGTACAACAAAGGCAATATTAGGCCGAGTGTGCTGCAGAAAATTCAATTTTCCCACTAAACGTCTATAGAGGCTGGGATCAGTAAGAGGTTGGACCATATCAGGGGTGAGCTTGATAGAAGACTCAAGAGGTGTAACCACTGGGGTAAAGTGATTGCAATTGAACTCATACAATAAATCAGAGGCAAACTTCTGCTAACTAACCAAATACCCTTGAGGAGTCTTCGGAACTTCAAGAACTAAAAAATAATGGATAAATCCTAGGTCCTTGATCTTGAACTGGCAGTCCAGGAAGGACTTCAATGTGTCAAGCTCATTCACATCATCCCCAGCAAGTAATATATCATCATCATAAACAACAATGACAGTAAGAGAAGAAGAAGATGACTTGGTGAAGAGTGAGTAATCATTCTTGCTAGAAATGTAGCCCTTTGAGGACAGGGCTTATGACAGTTTAGAAAATCACTGTCTGGAAGCCTGTTTGAGGCCATAGAGAGACTTGAGAAGCTTGCAAACCAAAGGAGAAGAACCTGAAGCCATGGGGCAGAAATCTGAAGACCAGGTGTAGGTTTCATGTAAACTTCTTCATGGAGATCACCATGAAGGAATGCATTATTCACATCTAGTTGATACACAGTCCAGTTCCTCTTGGCAGCAAGACAAAAGAGGCACTTAATGGTGGTGAAATTGACAACAGGAGAGAAGGTCTCATTGTAATCAATACCCTCCTTTTGAGTGTCACCCCTAATGACCAACCTGGCTTTATAACTTTCAATAGAACCATCAGGCTTTTGTTTGATTTTATAAACCCACTTACATGGGATAGGCTTCTTGTTAGGAGAAAGAGGAAAAATGTCCCAGGTATGGTTTGCATCTAGAGCCTTAAATTCTTGCAGCATAGCCTCTTGCCAAGCAGGATGAGATGCGGCCTGTTGGTAATAAAGAGGTTCTTGCATGTGCAACTCATCAGGAGAAACCTTAGAGATGGTAGGAATAGGTTTGGTAACAACTGCATAATCAGGTTTGGTAACAGCTGAAGAACAAACATAATCTTTGAGGTAAGAAGGAGTGTGGCATATCCTAGTGGATTTTCGAAGAGGAAGAGATTGTGGCAAAGGAGGTGGTGTAGGAGAATTAGGGACAGAAGAAGGAAGAGGAGAAGAAGAAGGAGGTATTAAAGGAAGGACTTGAGGAGAAGAAGGTGCTGAAGGAAGGGCTTGAGGAGGAGAAGAAAGAGAAGATGAGGAGGGAATACTGTCTTCAAAAGAAGCAACAGAAAAAGGCTGTACAAGAGGAGATATGGAAGAATAAGGAAATATGTGTTCATGAAACACAACATCTCTAGAAAAGAAGATGGAATGGTTAGTGAGGTTAAGTAGTTTGTATCCTTTTTAACACAAGGATATCCCAAGAATACACATTTGATGGCTCTAGACTGAAACATATCCCTCCCAGTTTTGGGGGTAGTGGCAAAACATAAACATCCAAATAATTTGAGGTGATCATAAGATGGAGGAGTACCATGAAGTCTTTGGAAGGGAGAGATGTTGCCTAGGATATAAGAGGGCATCCTATTGATTAGATAAGTTGCAGTCAACAGACATTCACCCCAGTATTTAACAGGAAGATGAGATTGAAAGAAAAGAGCTCTAGATGTTTCCAAAAGATGTTTGTGTTTTCTTTCTACCACACCATTCTGTTGTGGAGTCTGAGGAACAGTGGTATGATGAAGAATCCCATTTTCAGAAAAGAATGCCTTTGCTTTAGAACTCCCACCTAGTTCAAAAGCATTATCTGCCCCGAATTTTTTTACATGTAACGACCCGGCCGGCCGTTTCATGATTTACCGCTCTGTTTTCCCTATTTCTACTTCTTATTGTCTTGTTCAGCTGTATTATGTGTTATCGGGTTGGTTGGCTCGGGTTCGGAGAGGTTTTGGTAAGGTTTGAGATACTTAGTCTCTTTTGAGAAACATAATTTGGAAAAATCAACCGAACATTGACTTATGTAAAATAGGGCTCGGATGTAAATTTCGATGATTCTGGTAGCTTCTGGAGGTTATTTGGGACTTAGGAGTGTGATCGGAACGCGTTTTGGAGGTCCGGAGTAGATTTAGGCTTGAATTGGCGAAATTCGAACTTTTGGTGTTTTCTGGTTGATAGGTGAGATTTTGATATAGGGGTCGAAATAGAATTCCAGAAGTTGAAGTGGGTCCGTTGTGTCGTTTGGGATGTGCGTGCAAAATTTAAGGTCATTTGGACGTGGTCTGGTAGAATTTTTGATCAAAAGCGAAATTCGAAAGTTTTAGAGTTCTTAGGCTTGAATCCGATGTGTTTTGGTTGTTTCGATGAAGTTTGAGCTGTTTTAAAGATTGGTATAAGTTTGGATGGTAGTATATGACTTGTTTGCACTTTTGGTTGAGGTCCCGAGGACCTCGGGGTAATTTCGGATGGTTGACGGGAAGTTGGAATTGGAGATGGTAGCTGAAGCCAAGTCTGCTTTCATAATCGCATCTGCGGTTGAGAGGCTGCATGTGCGACCCTCGCAGATGCGGAAAGCAAGTCGCAGAAGCAGAATGGGCCAAGGGGAGCTGGAACTGCAGAAGCGGTTAGGTGAGCGCACGTGCGATAGTGATGGCGCGGGTATCTTATCGTAGATGTGGAACTGGGATTCATAAGTAAGAACCGTAGAAGCGGTTGGTGGATCGCAGAAGCGGTACCGCAGGAGCGTGATTTGGACCGCAGGTGCGAAAAACTTAGGCCAGAAGGTATAAAAGAATTCCTTCACGATTTTTGAGTTATTCTTCACCATTTGCATGCAGGTTTGAGCTTGGGGGAGCTATTTGAAGAGGGATTTCAAGGGGATTTCATAGAGGTAAGGTTTTTGGACCCTAAACTCGTTTCTATGGTGTTATTTCACTGACTTGGCTTGGAAATTAATGGAAATTAAGGGTTAAAAATTGGGAAATTAGGGCTTGAGATTGGAGACCTTTGAGCAAGGGTTTGTGGGGTCATTTGTGGTTGGATTTTAATACTTTTGATATGTATGTACTCGTGGGGAGATAAGGAGTCTATTGATGTAAATTTTATCGAATTCCGAGACGTGGGTCCGGGGGTCGGGTTGGACCAATTTCGGGATTTTCGGTATAATTAGATTTTATGCGCATGTGCTTTGTTCCCTTAGCTTATTCTAATGTTATGATTCTGATTTTGGGTAGATTCGACGCGAGTTAAGGCCGAGGCGAGAGGCAAAGGCATCGCGGAGTAGTTTTTCATTCGGTTTGAGGTAAGTAACCATTGTAAATCTGGAACTGAGGGTATAAACCCCGGTATTTCGTATTGCTGTGATGAATGAGGTGGCACACATGCTAGGTGACGAGCGTGTGGGCATGCACCGGTAAGAATTGTGACTTGGTCCGTCCCATAGCGAATATTAAGCCGCGTACTTGATTTGAAATATTATGATATCACGTATTTTAGAGATTGATACTATATTACGGGCTGTATGCCATGTTTGGGGCCTTGTACCGACCTGTTGAGACCCTTAGAGGCCTTTTCACTGTTTTCCTCACTCTATTTGTTTGAAAGCATATCCTCAGTCATGTTTTACTAGTTTATTGTTTAAACCTGGTTTTCCTTTTATCACTCTACTTCTTAATGTGAAAGAAACTTTTTGGGCTGAGTTTTCCTGATTTCCACTGTTATGCCCGAGTGGCTGTGAGGTTAATGATTGAGAGAGGTTGAGGATCTAATCATGAGGAATATATATATATATTATGGATCGGGCTGCACACTGCAGCAATATTATATGTATATATTATGGATCGGGCTGCACGCCGCAGCGATACTTATATGGGTCGGGCTGCACGCCGCATCGATATATATATTGGATCGGGCTGCGCGCCGCAACAATATGACGCTTGGGCTGTAGGAGCCCCTCCGGAGCATGTACACCCCCAGTGAGCGTAGTCGACTATAAACTATGGATCGGGCTGCACGCCGCAGCGATTATTATGATTATTACTATTATGAGATATTACTGAGCCTGAGGCTGAGTGTGAGTACTGTGTGACGAGAGTTGAGTCACGAGTAACCGAAAGGCTTGCCCGAGAGGCTATATTTATGAGTGATACCTTGCACGAGAGGCCCATTTATGGCATTTTTGCTGATTTCACTCTTCCTTTTATAATGAGCCTCTGTTGAAAACTACTAAGTAACTGATTTCAAAGTATTTCAATTCAAATTGAAGTTTTACGAAGTAATTGGCTTTTAAACTGTTGAGTTTGACTTGATATTCTATTGTATACTCTTATATATGATTTATTTCAACTGCTCGTCACTGCACTCAGACCTTATTTACTTTAGTTACTTACTGAGTTGGCGTACTCATGTTACTCCCTGCACCTTGTGTGCAGATTCAGGTGCCCGAGCGGCAGAGTGAGGGTTCCCAGCATTTTCGGAGCTTATCAGAGACTGCAAGGTAGCTGCACGGCATCCGCAGCCCTGATTTCCTCCTTCCTATCCTTGTTTTCCACATTTTTAGACTTATCATGTATTAGACAGTCGGACTGGTTGTAATTAGAGGCTCTAGACTTGTGACACCAGATGGTTGGCCTGTGTTTGGTTTGTTGATATATTGTCTTTCCGCACATTTCAGTGAATTAAAAATTTCTCTTGCAAATTTGAAGCTTAATCAGTATTAGCAAAATGATTTATTAAAAGGAATCTACTGTGGTTAATTGTTTGGGTTGGCTTGCCTAGTATTGTGATAGGCACCATCACGACCGGATTATTTGGGGTCGTGACAGTACAGATGAGTGAAAATGTGTTTGAACCATTTTTGTGAATGCTTTAATGATTGTAAATGCATTGCTTTTACAGGATAATAAATGGGTCCATGTTACTCTGGAGAAATCATCAATAATGGTAAGAAAAATACCTAAAACCATTGTATGTTTTGGTGTTGTAGAGACCCCGGAGGTCTAAGTGAACCATCTGGAAAGGAGAAGTGGACTTGATATGACTTTCAAGAAAAGGAAGTCTTTGTTGTCTTGCCATAGGACAAATAGGACATGAAAAGGACTGTTTAGAAGGAATAATGTCAGATAAAACTGAAATTGATTTCATCTTATGAAGAGGAATGTGGCCTGATCTTTGATTCCAAAACAATTCCATTTTATTAACATTTCTAGGAGAATTACAAGAGGGACTGGGGAAAGGGATAACAAAATTGAAAATATTACATGTATTAGAAACATTACATGCATTACCAGATGGATTGACATGAATAGAAGATGAACACTCAGGCATGTCAGGGAGCAGAAAATATAGTCCATGAGAGGCTCTACCAGTTTCCAGTGGCCTCTTTAGAGAAGGGCCCTGTAGAAAACAAGAGTAACTTTTGAATAGTACTAAGCATTGCAATTGAGAAAGAAGTTGATATACAAAAATAAGATTGAATTGGAAGAAGGAACCAAAAGAACATTGTGTAAGATGATGTCTGTTCTAAGTTGCAATGAACCATTAGATATTACTTTAACTTTATATCCATTTGGTAGAGTTATAAAGTAAGGTTTAGGTAAAGGTTGTAAACCGAGTAAAAATTGTTTATTAGAGGTCATATGATTTGTTGCACCTGAATCCAATATCTAAGGTATCTTGCCTAACCGAGCAGACAAACATTGAACTGCAGAATTAACTACAGGGAACTGTTCTACAGGTATGTGACACACACCTGCAAAGTTGGCATAGGCAATATTATCACTAGAAGTAGAAGGATGGTTCCTAGTAGATATGTGAGCCTGCTGAAACAGGGACATAAGGGTATTAATATTGCTCTTTGCTGAAGCCATAAGATGTGGTTTAATTTGGAGGTACCGCTTGAGCAACATTATCTTCCACTTTTACACAAGAAGCAGACTTTTGTTCTTGGTAAATTTGAAGTCAGTGGGAAAAACACGAAGCCTGTAGCATTTGTCTACTGTATACCAAGGTTTTTTTACAGTATTTGCAAAAGACAAAAGAACACTTCCTAGTTTGATCAAAGTTGATTATTTGATTGAAGGGCTTTGCACTATATTGCTGGTTTCCAGAAGGGTTGGAGTTGGATGAAGTAGCAGAAAAAGAGGCTGTCACCAGAGAAACCCAAATTTGGAGGCTGATTTTCCTTTTGACTTTCATCATGCTGAAGCAAAGAATATGCTTTGCTAATTGATGGAAGTGGAGATATAAGCATGATACTACTCTTAACTGTGGAATATGACTCATTCAGTCCACCCAGGAATTGAAAGAGGTGTTAATCTTCAATGAATTTAGGTAATGCTCCATAAGAGCATGCAGGACCAACATAAGCAGAATTTAATTAATCCCATAAAGCCCTCATTCTGGTAAAATAGGTAGCGGTATCAGAGGATCCTTGGGAAGAAGAACTAATTTCCCTTTGGATTTGAATGCATTTGGATCCATTGGACTGTCCAAACCTCTCATATATGTCACTTCACACTTCTCTAGCAGTGTTGAGACACATGACAGTCACTGCTATCTCCCTAGTCATAGAATTAGTGATCTAAGCTTTCACCATATCATTACCTCGTTTCCAAAAAGGGATAATAGGGAGAATCAGGTGGAGGTTGAGGTACTTTACCAGTTACTATTCCTAATTTGTTTTTGGCAGATAAAGAGGTAAGCAACGCCAATGCACGAAACTGGTTCCATTGAACGGTATGGCAACTAATTGGCTTCCAGGGCTATCGGAGGGATGAACATAGAACGGGTGAGACGAGTCCACAGTGAACTCGACAAAACCATCAGCAGAAGGACTTCCCAATTTCATACACAAAAA